CACCAATTTTTTAGAAATTGACTAAATAATTTTGATTTTCATGTCATAATAAATTGTGCAATAATTGGGTTTAGGGTTTTTTAAATATGACTTTTAAAAATAACTATATGAAATATCCAAAAATTTTGAGTACCAATAAAAAAGACAAACCATTGCTAGCCATTTATTTGAAACAAACTGCTGTAGGAGATGCTCTTCATCTACTTTTTTACCCTGCAAAATATGAGCAGTTGCATTCGTAAAATTTTTCTTGCTCTTATTATAAATAATTCAAAACCGCAGAGATAGGAAAAAATGTAAAAGTGAAAACAAGCATGATCATTTCTCAGATCACATTAATTTACGTAATAAGAACAAGAAACTCTAGATATGAAAAAACATGTACAAACCTTCAACAATAAGTCTGAAGCAATCGAAAATGCCTCGCATTTCAAAATTTCATCATTTTCACTGCTGCAAATAGCGTTAACCCACAAATGAAATAGTGTAAATTCGGTTTGCGTCAAACCAAATGCGTCGCGTAAAAAGTTACTCGGTCGTCGGTCACTGAGCTGAAAAAGCAAATGAAATGTTTAGTCGACAAACGATTACTGGACTAAAATACAGATTGAATAAGTTTTTCAAAGACTGAATATTATTACACGACTTAAGTACAGCTTATCGGCTGACACATTGAATTTAAGTTATCCAAAAATGATATTAAAATCAGCATCAATTTCTGTTTCAAAAACATCCTCAAGCCCACCAATACGATGTAACTATTCTGGTCATCATATTCGTCATCTACTTGCACCAATCGAAGACTGAGTGGAGTTAGAGCATTATTGATAACTACGATCAACTTTTCGATAAGTATTTTTTCTTGTCTATCATCTGGCTGAATAATAGTACTACCTGAAACTTACTGAGACATTTAATTTAATGAAAAATATAAAAAATTAATATCTCGATAGATTTAATAAAGGCGTATTTGAAGAATTTTTAAAAAGTCAAGCATAAACTTTATGTGATATGAACGGAAGAAAATAATCAACTATTATACATCAAATAGTTGCATAATAAAATCTTATTATCACATCAGCTCAAAACAACTTGCCTTCTGAATCATAGACCTGGACATATTCAACGAATTTTTTGCAGAAGTAATGAGCCTGCAAAGGATATGTTGTTTCATTTTTATACCAATAAAGTTTTGAGATCAGATGAACCTAGTATAATTTCATTCATATCCATATAATCATAGTGAGATAAGTTGAGAAAAAGAAATAACAAGTTGAAAACTATAACCAAGAGAAATATGATCAATTTGACCTGCAAGATTCCGAGTTTAATGATGAGCTGTACGAGATGCTTATGTGGCACACTGTAATTTTCCGTAGTTGCTAGCAAATTCTTCCATGAATTTAGATTTGAACTTTCACCCATTTCATACTGCAAAACAATGCGTGTAAAATCAAATGATCATTATATTTGTTGAGAAAAGAACAAAGAATCTCATGATGGAATGCAAAGACCGAAACATAAATGTATGAATTTCAAGAATTCATAAAGATAGAAATTAAAAAATGAAATGTTGAAGTCTTTGAAAATTTATCGAGCTAACTTTATCTTGCACAAATAAATCTCCAAATGTGATAACTGAATGACTGTATACTAATTGAAGATGATGTATGATGTGACATATAAAATGTTCCTGTTTCATTCATATTTCACTTCATAAAATATCACAAGAATTTTCATAAATATTTTTTCAACGAATCTACATCATTTACATATTTTATTAAAAAATCTCACGAATTTATAATATGAAATATCAAAAAATGACATATTAGAAGACAAATTTTTCAGGAATACTGCTGAAGAGTTTTCAGATAGTTTACAGACTTGAACACAGAACTAAACAACATGTTCATGTGACACCTAGATTTATTTGTCAAGTGAAATGAAGGCCAAATGCGTCAATATGAAGATCATCATGAAGGTTACATGCGGGAAAAGTAGGCAATATCTTTCTGCAAGAAAGGTAATTCAATAATCATAAGTCATACATTGAACATATTTCAATATAATGTGTTCTGTGCTAAAATACAACTAGAGGAATAACTCAGTGGTAGAGCATTCGACTGCAGATCGAGACATCTGTGATTCAAACCCGATGCCTTCTTCACATCAGAAATTTTCAGCGTTTTACCGCTTTTTTAAACAATTCGAATAAAGTGGCAAACATAAAAGTGTCAGCCTTGAAGAGATAGGGAAACAAATCAAAATCTCTTCGGTGCGAACGGAGCTCTATCCTTGCGAGTTATGGCCTCACGTATGCCTCCAAAACATACATGAATTTGACTATTTATCCAGGTACTATGCAAGAAATAGTAGTAGCACGTCTATAAATAATGAAAACATCAGTTCGAACTCAGATGGATGGGTTCGATCTACACTGATTCTTGAATTTGACTGGATGAACCAAATTTGAAAAAGTTCATTTAGAATAAGCTATAGTATAAAAATTTCACTTTTTATTATGTATAATTACAAAACATCCAATATATCCTTCCAGAAGTTAAAAAATTTTGACGTTAAGACGCTCGCACCTAACAGAAGGAGGATAGCCTAGATCAACGAGAAAAAAATAAGATTTAAATTCAATTTAAGAAATTGAAAATAGAATTTTCAAAATTTTTT